CTATACAGATTACTAGACACTGCAAGACCGGTTTTGAAGCAGATCAGTGTTATATTTCATAGTCTGGGGCGTACGACACTGACATGACGTAGCCGGCGTATCCAATTCACTTCGACACGGTTCCTTTCAAATGTTTGGAGAAAAAATATTGATGCTATTGACTAAATATTGAGAGACGAAATCTACTTACAGAGTTTATTATGCTTCAATGACAACAACTCAAAAAGTTAATAATACAAAATGATTTCGTGCTTTTTAAAAATTTTAAGACCTTTATACGTGTTACACACAACACTACATACATTGTGCACATATCTCTGGGCAAAGGCATGGGATGAATCATTATGAAAAGCCTATCCGGAAAACCTACCTCGAAATAGAGCTGACAATTTCTTCCCTCGTCACAAAAGTATAAAGTTCTTTTAAAAAATAACGCGCATTTCCGTGACAAAAACACACTACGGCTGTGTGGCCTACTTTAAGGGATGGTCATCAATATAATTTTAAGTCCCTATAGATAGATTGTTCATTTCTAGATAAACATCTTTATTTTTTCAACACACGCTATTCAAAAAACGGTGCATTCAATTTTGTACCACTTCAATATATTGCATGATTTAAACATGAGTTTTTCATAAAATGACGTTGTTTTAAAAAAATATGTTATCATTCCACTGAATTATGTATTACGTGTATTATGTTTTTTCCAATAAGTACTGAAGATTTCTTATTTATCACCTTCGTAGACTGTAAAATTATTTTACTAATTATGTAGAGTTCATAGTGTACGCTAGTGTTATTTACTCTCCTTTTAATATTTTAATTTAAAATACTCTTGAACTCTATCGTCGATGTAATTCTGTCGCATCGAAATCCATCTAGCATTCATAAATAACTCAAGAGAATCGGCACGGACGGCGAGCAGATTAATCTAATTTCCACGCGTCAGTCACACGCCTACATTGCACCATTACTCTTACTTATGCCTGACACCACTGTTTCTATCAACTTAGCGAATATTCCACTGCATACAAAAAAAATCATTTAAGGTTAATTCTTGAATATTTAAAGCAAGCTCAGAATTTTTTATAGAACGATAAACAGGAATTCGGCAGCATTTATACCTTACATTTTTCTTTCTTTCTTTTTATGCAGTCTAAAGAGTAAGCTTACAGACAAGGGAATTTCCTCAGCAAAGTATCTTTACAATTTAGTGCTATTGATATTGGATAGTTAACGACGTTTCTCAAACCTATGTCATTAGCAGATCCCGACTTTAATTTGGATGGCTGCCAAACTGTGATTACATTTTCTATGTCCTACAATTTACAAGCATTGTCCTACGACTTCTTCTGAGTGAATATCAAGAAAAACCTACCTGAAATCTGATTTATCAGTTTTGAGTGAAAGACTGTCTAAGATCCTCACAAACTTTTGCAACTTTTATATTGTGCTAATAAGTTAATACTACAAGTATTACTAAACTTTTGATTTATTTATTATCTCATAATAGTTACATCGATTTTACTTAATACTAATCTGCCAAACTGCTGAACAGTTTGTCGGCAGTCGTTTTCGTGTTAACTGTTGTGAGAATAAATGTATCTATCTAAACGAGGTGCACAAATTGCAATAGGGATATCTAATTTTATTGCAACAAAATAACCACATAGAACTACTAAACTAGAAAACCCTACTCGAATATACCTTGTTATGATAGCAGGTGAGAGTTGCTTCTACATGGAAACCACTTTATATGGAACGCACCGCGAAAGGCGCCCAACAAATTGGTACCTTGTAGGGCCTGGAATGGTTTTCACTTGTGTTATGTCAGCTAGGCTAGGATAATGATTCTGATTGTTATCAAATAGTAGCTGATATAGACAGCTGTAGCTGAAATAATAAGGCTTAGTTGCACCACCTAACTTTGACGGTAACTTACGATAACCGGTGTTTTTTGTATAGAGTTTGACAGATTTTTAAGATGGTGCAACCCAGCCTAAGTGTTGTGTGTACTTACATATAAGTAGGTATAGATTTGTAGCCTGTCTGACATTAGGTAAGTATCTATAAGTATATAAGTAAACGCGGCCATATCAGCGTATTACACTTGAAAATTTCGACAGGTTCATCCAGTGTCTAAGTAGCTGGAAGAGCAGTCGCCCGGCAAGCGGAAGGTCGTGGGTTCGAGTCCCGCCTTAGCCAGTTCGATTTTTTCAACCGCCTCTGTGGTCTAGTGGTAAGACCACCTGTTTCAGACGCAGAGGTCCCGGGTTCGATTCTCAGTGGGGGCAGATTTTTCTGTTCGGTTTGGTTGGTGGTAGGGCTTGTTGTAAGTCCGCCTGGCTAGCTACCACCATCTTACCTAAGTCTGTCGCCATAACAACAATATTAACAGCATTGTTGTGTACCGGCAGTTAGAGGTAAGATAGCCAGTTCCTCCGTGGTTGAGGATTCTGGGTGAAGCTCGCTTCCACCTTCGGCCTGATCGTCACTTACCATCAGGTGAGATACAGGCCAAGTGCTTCCTCGTTGTGGATAAAAAAAAAGTTTGTTTAAAAACTATGTAAGTAGTTTGTGGAATTATTAGATTACTTGTAGTACCTATAAAAAGTGTTTATGAAGAAGCAAACTCAAAGCTGCCTCCAGTTACTTTCCTTTGTTTACCTACAAAGTTATCTTTTTAACGGCAGCAGTATTTTTGACACTACTGAAAACAAGCTTTACACATTATTTTCCTTGACTTCTATGGAAACCACTAAGACATTTGAAAAGAACATATAATTCTGTGCTTTTGTAGAATTTTAGAATTACTTAACACCATCTGGGCCCAGCCTTGAGTGGGTTGACTGTCAAGGCCCATAGGGCCACGCACCAATGGGCGAGCCATTCATTCGCTCACGTACAAATTATAGCACATCAGGCTATACATTTTTGTCGGAAAATGGTCCCTATTATAACTACATAAGACCCCACACTTTAACCTTGATGTGCTAGCGTCTGTACATCCAGCTTATATGTCCCTCGCCATTCTTATAGCTAACAATGTGGAGACCACTGAATAATTCATACACATGCACCAATTACTACGGTAGGCTCAAATGAATGAATCGGAATGTTTGCTTTGGATTATTAGGGCGCAAGACACGTAAGGAACCGAAAAGAATGAAGCTTGTAAATGGTCAACCTTGAATATCAGACTGAGCAGACGATTGATGATGTCCGAAGTTCCCTTAATAATAGTTGTAGTAGCAACTGCCATTTTTATTACAATTGCGGCTCTTCTGTTACCAAAAGCAATTACAGTATCAAAGCTGGCATAAACTGCTCAATATATGCATACGCCTACTTTTCATCAAACAGTTTGTGAAAGAAAGAAAGAAAAAATATTTATTTGGTACTAAATGATACACATTGACGCCCAAAGTAGTCAAAAAGTTCGCAACACGTCTTTGTTGCAATTTGAATAAGGTTGTGTTGTCAATTTTTGGCCACTTTGGGTGTCACGAACTATTTCTATTTGACGCTGACTGTATATGATGTGACTGAAGAAAACCTTTATAATTATTACAGCAGTCATAGTGCAAATTGTTATAATTTATGCGACTAGGTAGGCTAAACATAATCGAGCATGACCGATGACCGTCTAAGACCTCGTATTCCAGAAAAACCAGTACTTAATCCATACTAAAATTATTTAAGCGAGAGTAACTCTGTCTGTGTGTTACCACTAAACTGATTTATATGAAAATTGTTTTGTATAGAGCTAGTTCGACTAGACTCAGAGCAGGACATAGACGTTTTATCTCGCTCTAGATAGTCTTTCTGTAACAGACCTAAAAGGCAAGCGAAGCCAAAGGCAAAAGCTAGTAAATCATGTGGCTCGTGAATAAACTGCGGTCAATAAACTGGTCCCGTACATTACCATTCAATATTTGGAATGCACTGGTATATTTATAGTCCAGCTCTAAATATAGCCGCATCCACGGTACTATCGGTATAGTTAACCAACTGTGAAAGACTAGACCATCAATCATCTTGAAGCTCATTGAACTTGCAGTTTATTTTTAGTTTCTAGTATTCTATAGCCACTCTTATGTAAAACTTAAAATTGAGATTCCTTGCAAAGTAGGTAGGAATTGTTATGAACAATATGAACTATTTATTTCTTTATTTTCGTTATAATTTTAGAATTTATAGTGACTGTATGTATATTAAAATTCTAAGAACATCATCATCACATTTTATTTTGTTTTCGTCTCAACCACCAAATGCCGTCCACTGTTGGACAAAAGCCACCTCCAAAGATTTCCACAACAATTAGTTTCCTCCATATTTACATAATTAAGTGAAAAATATTAATGGGGTCACGTCTAAAGAAAAATCATGATTTAATTTAAAGAAAGTTTATTTGCTTTAACTTTAAACATCCAAGAAGACAATCTTAGAGCTATCCACAGTCTCGCCTAAACAAATAAATAGTTCACAAATATATAGTTAAAAACTTTACTCTAATATCACTATTAATTTACAAAACTAAGCCCTATAAAATATTCAAAAATGCCATAAAATAGACCTAAACATCATAAAGGTGTTTAACAAATATTTGGTACAATGGATTGTATTGTTAACCATACATTGCAAACAAGAAAACTTATCTAATCTATGTATGTACACATTATTATGAAATTCAACTAAAATATAACATAAACAACTCACTTACAACTTCAGGACAAATATTCAGGAATTTATATAGAAAGATAGGATAAATTGTTTCTTTGTAAATAATGTTTGTGGTCAAGCAGGTCTGCACACAAAATTGTACAAATCGAATCAATTTCAATTTGCATGTAAATCTGATATTGAATGCATTAAGGAGTATGTCTCATAATCTTTAAAAACATTTTACTGATTAAAAGTCAGGTTTGTGATACACTCATATCTTAATCCTTAACCAATGCTAAGGACACTGCTATTAACGTTACATGTGTTCAAATATCTGGCAGTAAATTACCTACATTATAACTTTTCACTCCATTTCGAATGCATAGTGTTACAAATCATTTTACAGATCAATTAAGGATACTTATTTTAATTTATTTCATTCTCTCACCGTTCTCACCATAAAACATGTATCCTACATTAAATTTGGTATTCCATATTTTAAAGCTAAATTGTTATTTGAGTATTGGAACATTAACTTAATAATTTATAATGAAGTCTTTACACTATGATAAAAATTAATGACTTACACTATCCCAATACTAATTAAAGTATCGAATAATTTCGTTTCCTGAAACCTTGCCAGAAACCTAAGCAAAATAACAATAACTAGGAATATGCAAAGTTTAGCGTTATTAGGATTTATATTTTATAAATAAATTAACTTTGTACAAAAACAACTCGTAAAATCTTAACTCTATGTAAAATTTTCCAAAACCGACTTGAAGCTGAATAATTTGATTTAAATAAAAGCCATTCTCAAGATTGTAAATTTTTGAGCAATATAAGCTACGGTTACAACCACAATAAGTGTGATAATATTTAACATACGGTAGTGAGTTAAATAGCACTGTTTTGTAGCAAGCTAAACCATTCTTATCATATTTATAAATATTTTCATTTTGAGAAATAAAACTCTCTAGATCTTTTCTTTGCTTTCAAAAATAAAGACTGGATCATTAATTTAATTCCATCCTTTTTATCACTGTTTCTTACTATAAATATTTGAAACGAACAATGTACTGGACGAAATAGCTAAGTCTATTGTTCAACCATACTACATATTCTGCGATTGGTGTTCTCCCAAAGAAAATTCTAAGGCTTCCCAAAATAATAGTTATAATTTATTGGACTCTATTCCGTAATAAGCTCCAAAAATTTCCTACCCATATAAACTTTGGTGTTCTTTTTGCCTAACTACTGGGTCCTCGGTACATAGTATTGCTACGGTTTAAAAATTTTATCCAAAATACTGACACTACATTTTCATCGCAAAAATATAGCTACAAAATCTCTAAAATCTGATTAGACTATGTTATTCATAGTAAAATGTATTTTATTATCTTTCACTGAAGTTTTCACAATAAAAGCCTCATGTTAAAAATATTTCCAAAAAAATATTATTAGGTCGACATTGTTCCCACTGTAAAAATGGAAAAAGACAAATACTATAAAATGTTAAATGATGATGAATGTTTGCTGTAACATAAACATAACCTAATGGAAGACATTCGTTTTTACTCAGAGTGCATCAAAACATTATTAAGCAGATTGTGTCTAATATGCAAACGTGGAATGTGATGTCTGTCTAGGATAAAGATAATGTAAAAATTTCTCTAACTTTATTCTTAGCACTAAAACAGGGTGAAAATATGAACACAATAATTTCACGGAGTAGTAGGTAGGAGATACTTTCAATAACAATATCTCAGTAGCAGAAAAAGTAACGTCTAATTTATTAAGCGCTAAAATTAATAAAATTCAACCCGTTTAATTGAAAATACTGTGATACAAAGTAACGAACGTTTCAGTTCTATTATTATGATTAAAGCATTTATAAAGCTACAAATAAATAACACATTAAAATATTTAAATACAATAACTTAACATTACAGCAGTCAACTTCAAAACTAATTTAAGTTTATAATAAAAGTGCACTATAGAGGGATGATAGTATGATTAACAAGTATGTATCTACATAATTTATCTTTACAGTTTACTGACCGATCTCTATATTGCCATTTTTGATTTGGCCTCAAATTTTTAGGAGCTTAGATTTTATCTGAGAATATTGCTACCCGTTGTAGGTCTATGGCACTATCATCTAGCTACACGTCCTACTTCATTCTGATTTCAACGTACCATAGTTCATGTTTAGAGCACTCGGAACACTTTAGTACCGTCGGGCGAGTCGCTACATGTAAGCTGGTTTCATCTTGTAAGCCCGTTTCCAAATTTCACACAAGCACACTGTTGAATGGAATCTGTAGAAAATCGCTAGAGGCATCGAAACATGGGTGATGATCGTCCAGGCCCAGAGACCATAAAAATGTAGCTGAACAGGATGAGATTCGGCCCGAGATTTCTCAAGAGTATTTATAGCCCACATAGCTAGATTAGTAACAAGTAGGAACGTGACTATTTCTCTTCCTGGCTTCTTTCTCAACTGCTCTGCAGTTTTTGCCGATCTTCGACTGGCATCCAATATAAACATAGTCTGGCACGTCGTCTGTATTAAAGATGATAGAGCAGTAATCAATATAAGAATAGTGTTCTTCTCAATAGTAAAATGCCCACCGATGATGGTAAAAGTGCCGTAGATGAACATGCCAGTTTGAGCCCCAATCAAGAGAATATTGTCCAGTTCAAGGTTTCTGTTGCCATCGTATTTGAGTTTGCTTACACATACCATGCCAGCTAAACTGGCAAACGTAGTCATTGCATACAACGCCAACTCACAAACGTTTACTTCAACGACAGCTAGAGTTGCGTATTCTTTCTTTGATACTAAGACGAAAAATAGTATGAGAGATATAATAGTTAGAACCAATACTAATATTCCAAAAAACAGGCCTTTATGAGCTCTGGCACAGTCTACGCTGTATAGATGCGGTGACTTTTTATATGCCAAACCTTCGAGGATGCGTGCTTTGACTATGGCAGCGGCGACATCTTTCGAAGGGTATTTTGAGATGTTTTTCCACATGACATAAAGTATAGCTGCACAGATGAGTGAGTATTCGATGGTGCACGGAAATAGAAAAGGTGATGCGTCTTGGACCAGAGAGCCCATGATATTAGTTCGGCGGCATTCGAAGATGTGGTGGGGGCCTTTTAGACCACGAGGGACTCGCAGGTGCGCCGCTGCAGGGTGAGACGGTGGCACGTCTGTTGTCAGCGAAGCGAAGGCTTTTTGGAATGCTGGAACAAATCAATTAAACGATTAATTTATTTATTTTATAATGTCATGCGTCGTTATAACTCATATTGGTGCAACTTTGTGAAATGAACGCTCGTATGTTTATAAAACACAGATAGTATTTGATTCCAAATTTAAGTCAGGCAATAAAAAAATCTTAGGTCAGGCAGGTAACTAATAAGTACTTGAGCAATAAAGAAGAAACACGAAATAAGTAAACGTGGTGCATAACTAACAATGTCGAAATTATCCATAAACATTACCCCAGTAAATAATAAATCAGTGTTGAAAGCGGGTGATCCATTGTTGAAACAAAAGGGAGCCAGCCTATTGACAGTATTCCAGCTGAGCCTCTGTTCGATGACGTTAAATTAATTCAATTAATTGCACAAAGGGAATCCTAGCGGGTGCTGATATTGTGAAACAATTGACTTCGTGATTGATTCATTGCCTTCTGCTTCCTCTATTATTATTATGTTTAAGTAGGTATAGTCAGCGTCAAATAGTTCGTGTCAACCAAAGTAGTCGAAAAGTACGCTACGTGTTTGTTACAATAGGAATAAGTAAGGGTGTGTTGTCAACTTTTTGGCCACTTTGGGTGTCACAAAGTATTTGATACCTTTTTAAGATTTACTAACCACTTTGGGTTAGTAGTGACCTACATATTTTGATGAAATTTTTAGTACGGTTTGTGTCGTATGAGTAGGTACTTTCATCAGGAATACAGGCCCAAAAACCCATCAGATAGTTATAGGAAGGGTAGTTAATGATAAATAATGAACATTAATACCTAATTTTATTACATAAGGGCTAGTCGCATTCATTACTAGCATAATATTGATGGCTTGTGACACGGAAACTTTTTGACATGCATTAGCCAGAGGGGCGTGACTGCCATAATAATGTCACGCAGATGCCGATATTTGTTTAAAAATGTTAGTAACAAAGTTTATTTTGGGTATTCTGGCTGCCAAAATCTTATGCTTTGCCACTGGACACCGAAATCAGAAACTTGTTCACTTAGGTATACCACCTTACCTACTTTCGCATTAGGGGAAAGTAGTACGAGTTGATCCCCTGGGGTAAGATGATCCTTTGCGATTGTGCTGAAACCACTAACGTCATTTAGTTTCTTTCACTGGTAAAACATAGCTCTGGACACCTCCCCGCCTCAGTCAAATCGTAATGGTGACGTGAGCGATACATCGAATTTGACGAGAAAAAAGAAAAATTGTGTACTTCTGATCTAAAATAGGCATGACTTTGAGTTTATGTTACTTTTATTCAAACAATGTTAAATGTAACTACTGTTGTCTTTAGGCTTTCTATTATGTTTAATTTTAATATTTTGGCCATAAAAACATGGCCGCGTACTTGTAGATTATTGTAGCAAATATTTAACAAAAAGTTGGACTTGGGTCAAGATGATCCCTTCCTATATGTACGAGATGATCCCTGGGAATTAAAACAAAAAAGTCAATGGAGTAGGTAAAGGGAAGTGAAATAAAAGAAAGAGAACTTCATATAACTCACGTGAGTCTGAAGAAGATGATACTGAGTGGCTGTACTGAACAGAGAAGTTTTCAAGCGATACCAAGGGTGAAGGATGGATAAAATGTTATGCATGTGGAAAATGGAGCCATAAAGCATGTGCTGGGGTAGAGGGTGATGAAGAATGTGATTTTATTAGTGATATATGCAACACAGCTCCAGCCAAAAAGCGTTTAAATTATTTAAACGCTTTTTAGCAGGTACTAAGAAAGAATAGGTTATTTTCGTTATTTAATTCGTAAATGTTTTTCTTTTCTAACTTTTTAACGATTTGTTCGGATAATTAGGTACTCCGAAAGGAATACAACCAGAAAAGAATAGATGATAGAATAGAATCATAGGGATCATCTTACCCCTACCTGGGGGATCATCTTACCCACAGGGGTGTACAAGATGATCACTTTGTAAGGTTTTGCAAAAAATGAAATATTTTAATGAAACCTCAATTAATTTCTGGTTTTGAGTATAAGGAAAGTTGGATAGATAAATATACTAGTAGTAATCGTCTTTATTTTTGGTTTACATTGAAAAATATGTATTTTACAGCGATTCCCGCTTAAGGGGATCATCTCGTACTACTTTCCAATACCATACTAGCTGGGAAGGACTTTCCGTTTTAAATGTCCAATAATATTTAGAAAGTTTTGTTAGATGGTGAACATGGCTTGAAGCCATCACTCCTCCAGACGACAATACTTCTAGCTAAACATGGCACAGTGTTTAGTGTGCCTTAAGCTATTGTAAAGGTGCTATTTTGCAACTTAAATACAGCTACATAGTGTTTTACCTAATCGATGGGATAAGCCAATGGTCTTGTTCTCCGGGTCGTAGAACGTGAGGATCTCGTGCTTGGTCTCCTGGACGAGGACGTTGAGCCACACGCTGAGATTCGTCCCCACCATGTGCATCAGCCCAAACCTGGCCACTATCTTGTGCTTGTACACTTTCATCTGGAAAATATATTTGGAACTTTATTAAAAGGTAGGAAATTCTACATTTATTTGAATGTCATGCACCAAAAATTAAGTGAATTAGTTCAATATTGATTGTTTCATTACCGTTGAAGTAAACAAGATTATCACTAAAGTTCAGCTAGATCTTAGCGTGTTGCTTCGTTACATAAGTTTTACCATCGATTACATGCTACTTTAAAAAGGGGACAATTTTAAAGAAGCCGTTTGCATCTTTTTTATGTAGTAGATAATCTTCAAGTTATCATTGTACTACTTATCTAAATACACAATTAGTAAAATGAAGACTTCGATACGGACCTCGTTGTTCAGAAAGATGAAGTACATCTGTATGAAGATGAAGGCCATTCTAGTGGCGGGTGTCAGAGCGAGGAGCACATTGTGGCAGTTAGTGTTCCTTTCCAGCTCCCAGTACTGCCCGAACTCCAGCCCGGAGTAGATCATGGAACCGATCCCGAACGCTGGAAAGCAAGGGAAAAAGTTTTGATTAGCAAAATATAAGTGTGCATAGCTACGGGGACACCTGGATACGAGCAGCGCAAGATCAGCCGTAGTGGATAATCTTGAGGAAGGCTTTATCGACATGGACAGTGGCAGTGGACTTCTTTTGTTTGAAATGAACGATAAATGTGCGCTGGACAATACGACTTGATAGTTCATAATATGGTTCTAAATTATATTTCCCAAAAATCTCTCGGCGTTCCAGATGCGACCCAATTTACATTCTCCCAGGAATCATAGACACAATGTACTGCGCACTACATCATCGTGCCATAAAAAAATACAGTAAGTATATACTAAAATGTTATGTTGCGTAAATTGTGTATTTTCTTCGAAATATTAGGATAGTTTTGGCATAAGTTTTGTCACCCGTATCTGGTGTGGTGTAAAAATAAGTCAGGTGTAACTTTGTGTCTCGTCCAGCAAAAGTTTCTCGTTGTTTTCAAGCGCGAGTTCCTTCTTTAGTGAACTTCGCCAACTTCGCAACTAAGTAGATACGTACATAGTACCGCGGATTAGTTGGAAGTTTTCCTCTGTAATTCGGCGCCCGGGTGCAAATCCCCTCAACTTACACTGGCTCGACAACAACGGATCAAAGGAGAACTTTCAGAGTTTAATACTGTTCACTTTTTTGGATAGACTGATGAGGCAAAGAACATTAATTTGAGTTTTTAAAGTTCATTTTTTCTTGACTGAATTGGTATCTATTTTTTTTTAATATGCTTGGGTCTAGCTTTAATTAATGATGTGCACCTGATACACAATCCCTAATGAGACACGCATAGCTTAAAGTTGAAGTTTAATAGGCTGATGTATCTAGAATACTAGAATCTAAACCGTTACTAGGGTTTTGTCGTTTTGCAGTGAGCTTTAATGAGGCTGTGAAGCACTTAAGTCTGTTTCTATTTCTAATCAAGAATACTCACCAATAGCAGAAACTATCGTAGTCATGCGTGCGAGTCGCAATGAGCAGACTCGCACAGCCGCCGTGCTGCGCTCTATACACGACCCTACTTTAATGCACCTCCATTAACTTAAGAGTAACACTCACCAACAGCACCCATCCTCAAGTAGAAGCTGCCGTAGTCATGCGTGCGAGTCGCATTGAGCAGAGACTCGCACAGCCGCCGTGCTGCGCTCTATACACGACCCTACTTTTATGGAGAGGCACCTTAGTCATTTTCTAAAAAGTAACACTCACCAACAGCACCCATCCTCAAATAGAAGCTTCCGTAGTGATGCGTGCGCGTCGCCAGCGCAAAACCCAGCGACAGTCGTTTCGCTGCGAGTTGTGGCTGCATCCGTGCAGCAGTGGCGGTGCTGCGCTCTGTGCGCGACGAACACGAGTCCGACTCCGATGGTGACGAGCTTGAATCTGTTTCTAGAGAAATTGTCAACGTTCAGTTATATATAGTTATACATAGAAATGCTATAGATACAGTAGGTAACAAGAATGGATCAACTTCTCTAAAAAAACATGAAGGACCATATTTTTGGTTGTTCTGTTGCTGTGCTATCAAAATATACCTAATCGAAAAACAGTAATGTTAAATTGAAAGAGTCGTTTGCTAAAGTTTACACTAGTTCAAAGTGCACGTTGCTGATGGAAATAAACGAAGTGTGAACCCAAAATTGGGGTCTGATCGAGTTTCGACTTAATTAACCAACACAACAGCTAATTTTGGTAGCTAGTTTCCAGCAGCATTGGATAATTTAATTGGCACGTGTACATAAATGATTGCATTTTACTGCGGCCACGTTTAGTGTGGTGGAAAGCCAGACTAATTAAATTTTAAATATGTATTGGAGACATTTTCCCCCATATGTTTGTATGATGGGTCCTGAATATCGGAGTACAACGTATAGCAGTAGAATAAAGCACAGACAAGGCATAAGAAGTGATGAACAGAATATAAATTATAACAACTATTATATTTTCGTGTTCCCAATATGACGCTACAAAGTTGCCAAAGTTCCTGCATCATGTCGTGTGACGCATGACATGTTGTCATGAAGAGGACATGTTGCTCTCCTTACTCCAACCAAAACTTAGGTATAGCAACATTATAACTTGGACATTTCTCAGTTATTAAACGAGCGAAACATTTGCTCCATTTTCCCTAAAAATATTGGCTTTAATGCTTTACTCGTATTTATTCACTTTCAGGTTGGTGTCAGATCAATTTCAGCATAACTAATATTTGAGTACCTACAGCGTAATTTCCAATGCAAAAATTTGGTATATTTTAACCTCTTCATGTGCGTATCAGCATGCATATTTTTGCATATTTATTTTCTGTGAAAGCCCCGGCTCATGAAGTTATGAAAAACTGCTAGTTAGCTCCCCGCCCACAGGGAATTTTCGCGTCATTTGAATAACAAATGTAAAACACGATTCGAGTGAAAAAAATCACCCACTATTCTTACTTTTCCAGCGGCTCTCGAGCGAGAAGGGTGTTTTGTAAAAACAAGGGTAAAATATACGATAAAACTGGGTAAAGTGGGTATTATGTCACACGTCAAAGCATTGTTTTCCTTCCAAAAGCTTGCCTTAAATCGGATTGTGTTCGTTTTGTTCGTATCATTGTGTTTTTTGTTCCCTTTAGAATATTATTCTCATTATATTTTGTATTTAATAAATGTATTGAATTATTATTTATAGCTTCAACATCAAATTATACAGGTCTAAATACTTAAAATCGTAACAGTATTATCTTCTAAGTAGAACGCTGAAATAGACACCAAAAATAGATAGGCACATCTAAATCTAACTCCCAGAAAAAAGAAATAATATTCTTTTTCCGTTCCTTTTTCAAGAGGCGCTCTCTAGTTTTAGTTCGTAACCCGATAAAACACAAATTAAAAGTTGATCAGGTAACAGGGATAGCAAATAAAGCAATTCTGCCCCGCGTCGCCTCGAAACTTTGAACGCTTTCTTATAAAGTTTCTTAGCAACTTAAGACTGGAACCAAAAAGAGTCCTTTGAACGGAAAAATTGCTGGCGGCAGTTTTCAGCTCTTTTATACCTTAGCCATGTAAGTGCGAAAATAAAAACGACTCAGTGAATGCAAATGAGTATGTTATTCAGTTTTTGGTTTACTTTCTTGTGAGTTCATTTACTTACTTTATCCCAAAGCGGTTAAAATCCTTGTCGGGCTTATGTAAAATGTTTTAAAGACCAAGCTTACTTTCAGCTACCGCAAATCGAAAAACAAAATCGACATTTCCCATTTTAATTGAGATCTTGTAAAATTGTCAAAAGGCCTCTAAATAAGTCTGACTTAAAAGGCGTAAAGTAAACATGGGTTGCTTCAAAAACAAACCATAATAAGTACCATAATTATTTAGATTCTTAACTTGCATAGTCTAGATTATACGTTTTAATACTTACTGGCAACTACAGCTGTATCGGCTGCAGATTTCGATCGATCCCTCGCTAGTGCTGCATACATATACAGCAGAAAGACCATACTGCCAATATACAGGTATAGGTAGAAACCCTGGGAACAAAATAAACGCATTATTACAACTACCAGGATCCCATAAAATAATATTGATTGTAATACTTTGTTGAAACTATTACAAACCTCATAGAAGGACGGTGGAATGTATGTGGATATCACTTCAGCCATGGGAAACGCCACCCCCATCACTACCAACAGTTTTCCGTAGAGAGCTGATAAAGTCGTCGCAAGCGCATCGCCCCTGTTAACAAATAGATAATTAAATTAGCATGACTGATAAAAGATTTGCAAAAATAATGTCATATTACTTAACGTAATCTTAGTTTGAGAACACAATAATAACAAAATGCTCCAGCTCTCGTTTTCTCTTTGTATAACTCAGTATACAGCTAGACCTAACCGGTAAAAGCTAAGCAAATCCCAGGGTAAAGAAAACCCACAGCGAAAATAATTAGCACGAAAAAGGAAGGAGTTCCAAATTAACACTTGAATTCCCTTCAGAGAAAATCGGGATGGCAGTTGACAATAGGTTTTAATCAAACTTTTTCAGGATTAATAAAACTTTGGTAGAAAACGGAGTAAGTAGGATACACTTCACGATAAATTGTCCTTGAACTTGCTATTATTAAGCCTAGGCGCAGACCACCGACTTTTAGTTGGCCTTAGTTGGGTCGGACTGTTAATCAGTATAGAGATGTATGGAAGTGCGCACATTTCACCGATTTGGTACCGGCCGATTCTTCATACAAATTAGAATTGGGCCCAACTATCGGCCAACTAAAAATCTGTGATCTGCGCCTAAGCTCAAATGTAACCTTTTTACGAAGATGAAACGTTCACAATCCAATTTCAGAAGCATTAGTAGAGTTCAATAAAAATGTTAAGCTTACGCTTACACAAGTTTCCACGAAACGCTAAGCATATAAAGTAACCATATCGACACTGATTCACTCACCACGTAAAAACGAAATCCATATTTACTAAACTATATCTTGAAAAGGAAAATATAAGCGTCCATTACTGGGATCCTCTGAAACATGGATTAAGTGGAAAGCAAAAAGAGGTCTCTTTTAAGAAGGCTTTGCTAAGTTCGCAGCGCACCTAAGCTGTGCTTTCGAGCTAAGCTTCTAAATGCTTTAAGCATCTCCTAGTGTAAGCTAAAACATGAAGTGAATTAAAACTAGATAGAGCTGGTACACTTCGGTTCAGCGAATAGTTTAATTAAAACTATGTATCACAAAAATGAATTACTTAATTTTAAACTGTAAGGCTCAGCTTGTGCTGATTTGTTTGGTAAATAGAAAATCAATGTGACATGTGAATCTAGGTAGGTACAACGATGACATGGAAACTGGAAATTGCAGTCCAATTAAGATAACAAATAAAGGGGCTAGACTATAATAAACTAGCGGCCGCCCGCGACTTCGTACGTGTGGATCCCGTTTTACCCCCTTAGAGGTGGAGTTTCGTATAATCCTTTCTTAGTGGATGCCTACGTCATAACATCTACCTGCATGCCAAATATCAGCCCGGTCCGTTCAGTGGTTTGGGCTGTGCGTTGATAGATCACTATGTCAGTCAGTCAGTCAGTCATTCAGTCAGTCATTCAGTCACCTTTGAGCTATATATTATATTTAGATTATAGATTATATTAGTGCAATAGCTACCTAGAGTATTTCATAACCATTAATCTAGAAAACAAAAGCAGAGAATAAAGCCAGAATTTATGCAACAAATAAACAAGCTTCCTGTGGCTGAAATATTGGTCTTTTTTCACGATCGCTGCAAAAATGCGTTCCCATTTCCGTCCTTAGTTTTTCACTCCGAAATGAAATCGAACATTGGAGGGAATATAAATGGCGGCTGTCGATTGAAACAAAGGAACTCGGAGGTATTATTCTGTAGATTAACGGGATCCGGGTAGCCGAGAACCCAGTGACACCGTCACCCGGTCTCCGGACCATCCATATTTATGTATCCCGCTGCGTAAAAGGATTTTCCCGGATTTGCCAAAGTTTCCCATTGAAGAGGCCTGGTATGCTATTCTCTAGTTTTGTCCTTTTCTGTCCCTCTCACTCATCGCCAGTAACTCTGGATGTATAAGAGAGACGAATATACCCGAAAATATAGACATCGACTTGCAGAGTAGCTTTTCTGACCCGGAGCTACAATTTGTGGGATTAAAGCTTATGAATCCAATGAGATTAGGCGTAATCAACACAAAGATGTAGAGAAGTGGTTACAACAGAAATAGATATAATCCTGTGTAACTATTAATACTAACAGTATCAACATAGTTTAACATTCAATTTCACGAGCTTTGGCGTTAATAGTTTATCAGTATAAAAACACACTACTGAAAAAGTGCATGGACAGAATGAAATGGAACAGTTGGTTAGCGAAAGCTTGTATGAGAAAAAAACAATTATCTAAAAAAACCTTTATTGTACATCCAAACAAAAAAAATGGGTCACAACAAAACCCCTCATGTTACCACCTCATTAGGCATTATAAATTACAGCCGTACTCTGCACCATATTGGACATTCTACCCAGTTGATTTCAGGGCACGCGACCCGAAAGAATAAGCTGCCGATATTTCCCCAAGGAAAGAACTCTACATCCCGCCGCGTAACAAATGGGGGACCTGGCGTTCCAACACATTGTCTTTTACTAAACCCATTGTTTTACTGCGAAAGATGACAGTGAGGGTAGACTTATTATAAAGAGCTGTGGAATTATAGCAATTATGATATGCCTCTGAGTGCTTTATTTATCTTACGAAGCATATTTGCGAGTATTTGCCTTACTTGCAGTATTTCCAACATTTTCATTAAATTCCGTATTCTTAAAATAGGAAAGAGGTGAACAGAAAGAACCCACCGTCTGAAAGCCAATATTATAAATGCTGAGTTCCGCCCCTAAGGGTTCATAGAATCGTTAATGGAAAAGGGAAAAATTGGCACATGTGATTAATTTCTTGTGAAGGCTTATTAAATGTTAAGAAAATTCTATCAAAATGGATTAGATTTTCCTTTCAAGTCTGAAAATCAAAAGCTACCCAACAAGAAAACAAAACGGCGAACAAAATTGTGTAGGTTTTTATTTATTTCAGTAAATAATTGATGAATCTTTCACTCATTGAAATAATAATGGTAGAGACAGAGACGTTATTAAATGCACTTAGCATGAAATAGTACAAGTATGTAGCTTATGTAATTTAGCACAAGATGTATGACTATACGGTTGAGTAATACTTAATTAGAAAAATAAAGAGACTGCTTTGTACCAGGACCCTCTTTGGTGATAGGAACACACAGCCAACCATATCACTGAAATATTAACTAGCTACGTAGCGCGAAGTTGGGCTATCATTCATAACCCTTATAGAGCTTTCTCTAACCTCTACACAACAATATTTCATTTCACCAGCCACTGGTCAAGATGTGTTGATGTGTATATATGTATTCTCAATAGACGATAAAAGTTTCGTAAGAATTAGGTACGTCAAAAAATTTATTATTTTACTCACATTAACAAAATGTAAGTTTCTAATGGAATAAACAATCAAATGGCCCAATCCTTACTTCTCTGCATGCTTTCTTGTTTTATTTGCGTACAAATGATATCCTAAATGTCTTCAAACACAACCTGTTTATTAAGTATTCTGTTCTTCTGTTTGAGTTATTCTTAATTTGCGGTTCCGTTAATTAACGAAATGCAGAGTCTTAATAAGAGCCACAGCACACGATGCGTTGCGGCGCCGCACCGCAAGGATTTCGCTGTATCGCGTGTCGCAGAGTCGCAACACTCGTGTGCCCGCCACAGATATTTCTAGTAAGACGAGGCAGCGACACCGCTCCGGCGTCGCACCGCCACCGCAACGCATCGTGTGCTTTGGCTCTAACATCGCCAGCCGCACAACGCGTCAATATTTGATACTCCCTGTCTCCGTATTTATTCATTTCCCTCGGCTTTGAATAATCATACTTGAATAAATTCATTGCGATTTAAGCCTTTAGTTTTAGGTTTAAGGCATAGTGGTTAACATAAATAAATAAAATATTTCAACTACCAACATCAGTCTTGTCAAAAACAAAAGCAAATTTTGACTTCGGATAGGCATAACTTAACTTAATATGCTGATACAATATTACTAAAAAAATTCAAAAACCCTGTCTTATATTTTGAAATACTCAGATCACATTTCCAAAAGATACGATGGGAAGACTTCGTTGAAGAACTTCAACAGTTGAACAGTCACAAAAAGGAGACGGATAATGCTGCAACTCGTGTATAACCAATATTAGAGTTACTTATAGAAATACTGTTTCACAAATATGTATTGAGTTCACTATGCATAACTTCCTGTATAAAGACAATCGCGGCGCCCGCCCCACAGCGTAATTACAACGCGATCCATCTTGCTAAAGCACGGCTTTCGCTTCCAGAACACCATTTTTCAGCACATTTATTCTTCATGAATAATTACCGTTTTTGTCGAGACTCTACCAGGATTCTGTCGTTATACTATAGGAAATTAGATGACCTAGTTGCTGTTGGTTAATTTGAATAAAATAATAACGTGTCCGCTTACAGATCACTTCGCGCTTTTGACGCCATAAAAATTAATATCTTGGAATTTTTTTACCGAATTATCATAGTACTTATTCAGTTTTTACTTGTAAAAAAAGCTGAATAAACTCTGCCACACGTTATTACCCATTAAGGAAAAGGATACCAGAAAATACCCCTCCAATATGGATCGGTCAATAACATTTTATTTTCAAATCTTATTTCCCCAAGACCCCAATATCGCAAGAGAAATAAATTATTAAATATTATATTCTGTGGCGGAAATTTCTTTTAAAATGCTCGATAATAAATGTTCAGACTTTCATTTAGATGAGTAATAAATTGGATTCTCTTTGAGTAAACAGCAGCGCGGAAAACGCCGTAGGATGCATTATAAAAGCTATTTACTGCTATTTTCCTCGCGATTACAAGAAAGGAAATGAGTTTTTAAGGATGATTGACGTAAAAATCTCATAAAATTTTCAAGAAATAAAGTTTTCCTGCTCCCTCGGGCTTTACAGTCGCAAATGAAATGCCTTTTATAATAATTACTCGAGGTGTAACTGATAAATTAAATAATACCCACCCGTGAATTTAACGCTACTTAAGTACCAACACAAAAGGGTATACAGCAGGAATTAAATGATTGTCCTTAACCCGATAGCTT